TTTTTTTTCCTTTTTTTTTTAAGCGTGTGTATGTTTGTTTCTTAATCCTTTTTTTTCCTCTGACTCTTTCTTTCTTTTTCTCCTTTGACTTAGCTGCTGCTTCACTTGAGCTCCTAATAACAGATCTGCTGCCTTCCTGGAGACTCCTAATAGCAGATATTCATGACTATTAATATTACACGAACACTTAATAAGGGAAGAATGGCTGGAAATCGAGCGTGAAGCGAGAAGGCAACTCAAGGCAGAGCCTGTTCTAAATGACGTCCATTGAATGAAGAATCAGTGTATCTAATCAGAGATGGGGGAGAGGGAGAGGGAGAGAGAGACAAAAAGGGAGAGAGAGGGAGCGGGAGAGAGAGAGGGGGCACATGCTGCTGCGTCTGACGAATCACAGGAAAGGGGCAACATTTTAAAAGGTTGCAGGGCATGCAAAAGTGAAAGAGAAAGAGATCCGGAGAGAGGGAGAGGGTGGGAGCCAGGAGGGGGGGGTGAAGAAAGGGGGGGGGGGCGGGGAGGGAGTGGGAGAGACGGGCAGAAGAAGAGAGGGGAGGGGGCGCGGGATCCCCCCCCTCTTCCTTCCTCACCTTCCCTTCGCTTCGCTTCCCTTCCCTTCCCCCCGGCTGCCGCCTCCCCATGTCCCCAGCCCCGCAGTCCTTCGCGGGCGCACCTCGGGCTGCGGCTGCTGCGCGTAGCCGGCCTCAAAGCCCAGGGAGAAGAGCGGCTGCTCGCTTCCCGCTTGGTTCTTGCCGCCCTCGGCCGCACCGCCGCCGCCTTTGCGCGGGGTGGGCTCCGCGGGACCGCCCGCCGCCGCCGCCCCGTCCATGCCTCGACGGCGCCCCGCCGAGGGGCTCCCCTGGCCGCTGCCCCCGCGGCGGCCGCCCCGCGCCGCCGAGCCGGCTCGCCTCCGTGCCCCACGTCCCGGAAACCGGCTGGGAAAGTTTTTTTGGGTGTCTCCCCCTCTGGGTGTCAGCCCTCCTCCTCTTCCTCCTCCTCCGGTTGGAGCCCAACGCCGAGACCAGCGGGCGCCCGGGGCGGGGGGGCTGGGGAGCCCAAAGAGCATCCGCCGGGCTCCCCGAGGCCCCCCTCTCGGAGGATCCGGGAAGAGACGGGGGAAAAAGGCAGGAGGCAGCAAGGCGGGGAGGGAAGGAGGGCGGGAGGGACGCGGTGGGGAGCGGGAGCTGGGAAAAGAGGCAAGGCGAGCGCTTCTCCCGGCCCAGACAAGCCGAGGCTCCGGCGCAACCCGTTGGACTGGCTGTGCAACTCCAAAACAACTCCCTTAAAACAGGCACCGCTCCGCTCGCCGCCGCCGCTGCCCCGCCGCAGCCGCCGCGCCGCCGGCGCCCGGCCCCACGCTCCGCCCGCCCGCCCCGACCCCCCGGCGCTCCGGCCGCCCCGGGCGCTGAGCGCGACTGGCCGGGCTTTCATGCCCTTTTTCTGGGTTTATTTTTGTTGTTCTTTTTTTTTTTTTTTTTTTTTTTTTTTTTTTCAGCTTTCATTCCTTTTTTGTTTCTTTTTTCCTTTTTTTTTTTTTTTTTAATTTTAAGGCAGGTTCTTCCCCTGGCGGGGTACAGCCACCTTCTTTTCCATCCTCTCTTAAAAGTGTCCTTGCACCCACTCCCGAGGTAAACATGGAGAGCCAACCCCACACGCACAAAATCCGGCCGGTTCGCGGAGCGGCTGCTGCTCCCTCCGTGTTTGGTAACACCTCGGTGCTAAGTCCCATTAACGCAAGGCAACAAAAGCCATTTGCGATGAAATCCACACGCTCGCACGTGTGCAAACTGGAAGACCGGTCCTGAGGGGAGGGAGGGGGAAGAGGCACGCTTTCCAGCCGAAATGCAGCTGAGGAATATGTGTCCTTTTTTCCAGGCTGAAACAATTTTTTTTAAAATCCAAAACACCAGAAAACCCAACCCAGGCAACCAAAAATAATAATTAAAAAAACCTTATACAACCACAAACCCCAACACTCCTGACACCTCATTCATAGAAATCAAGCACCCGCCAATGATCTAAAGCTCAGCTCCCGCATCGGGAGACAGCTTCATCCCAAACTCCTCCATCCAGGACTAGATCACCAAATCGGCGCTGAGCCTGCCGAGTCCTCGGTCCCTTTCCTAAACTACAGCATCGCCCAAAACAGCGTCAGGGTCGGACGGGAGAGTGCCCCCTTCGACCCAGAGATGCATGTCCGCCGAGGTTGAGGGGATCTTCCCGCGTGGGTCACGACCAAATAACAGCGTTCACTTGCAAAGTAGAGTCTTTTATTGCGCGGTTTGAACGCACTGCACAGGCAACTTTTCGAAACGGGTGACAATAGTATTCGTTGGTTTGAGACTAGGCATGGGTCTTGGGAATCGCTCTTCTTTTTCCTCTTCTTCTCCTTTTTGTCAGATTAAAAGACACTTGCCTCTTTCTAAAAATATGGATGCACATACAGACAGAGAGATGCGCGCATATAATCTGTGCTGAACGGCTCCAAAACCGAATGAGATGGATTTCTTTTTTTTCCCCAAGCGGTTAAATTACTATGTCTCAAACCCGTGGGAATGTGGCCCTGAAAATTAGGAGGCTGGGGAAACACTGCTACCAAACCCGTGATTTCAGTTAGGCAGCTGACCCCTGTAAATTTGTGCAGCTCGGTATAATGCACCCGCAGATAGATCGAAAAGGCTGAATTTAAGCGTCGGTCCTGAGCCAATTTATTTGGATGCCTCTGGTACCTAGAGTGCAAGAATAATTTTCTTCCCTTTGTCTCTTGGCCCTCTCATTCATTCATCTGTCCATTCATTCAGCCAGCCGCCTATCCATCCATCCATCCATATGGATGAGTGTAGCATCCTACAAGAGCCTTATCTACGGAGGATCTACCTATAGACCAGGCTGCTTCTGGATCCCGTTTGCCTTTCCTCATACACTTCCGACAAAGCCGTGTTTCCAAAAGCCCCGAAGTTCCTGGGGAAGGACCCCAACCCCTCTCCGGCTGCAGGACCGCAAGGAAGCCTGACGACCGAGAAGAAGTTTTCCTAAACGAAATTGAGAGACGGAGGGATGCTGAAGGCTCCCGCTTGCAGCTGTGAGGCCGGGGCTCTGCCCGGGCCCGGGGGAAGCGCTTACCTCACATTCCTCATACTTGATATTATCCGTTAGTTTCCAAAGCATTTTCATGGATTGGCGTGAGAGAGGATTTGGTTCTCCCTGCCTTGCCTCTCCCTACGGTGGCGGTGCCGGGCGGCGTGGGGAGCGCGGCTGGCGGAGGCTCGGCAGCGCTCCCGTCCGCGCTCGGAGATCTCCCTCTAATGGTGGAAACTTTTCCCTTTTCCAGCTCTTTACCCACAGTCTAATCGCCTCATTAGCATATCAACAACAGCCCAATTGCTCGCCAGCACAACAACCTGCAGCGATGGACACAGGTAGAAGGGACCCACAAGCAAGAAAAAAAACGCTAATAATAAACTAACGACAAAAAAAAAAAAAAAAAAAAATCTTTCTTCGACCTGCCGAGCCCCGGCGCGGGGGGGCAGTGGGCCCTGCCTGTCTGCCTGCGGGCCGCTGCTAGCACCCGTGCCTCTGCCTGCCAGCGGGGAGGAAAGTGGCCAGCGAAATCAAAGAGGCTATAGTCCGATCCGCGGAAAGTTTGGGGCTAGCCATGAAAACCCCATGGGATTTATCTCTCCCCCATCCACCTTTTTGCTTTCTCTTTTTTTTTTTTTCCACGGGAGTTAAAGGAAGCAAAGCGAGGAGAAACGAGACTCGAGTCCTGCTCGAACGAGGTTATTGTCTGCGGAGGCTTCTTTTGCCCTCTAGATTTGGTCTTTTTTTGTGGACATTTTAAAAGCTTCTTTCCTTCGCAAACTATTTTTTTTCTTATCGGCTCTGTTGGCTATTGGTCTTCAAAAAACACCACCCCAAACAAATCTGACATTATCTCCCAAATAGAAGTGGGCGAGCGGTAAACTGACTGTAGCAGGAGCCAAAAAGTCTTTTGCAAGCACTTGAGCAAAAGGACAAAACAATGACCACAATAAAACTTCGGTACTTTCTTAGGTGGAGCGCTTCGTTTGCTTAACAATGTGCCGCTAAGAGAGCGCTCAGGCTGCCCTGCCGGGGGGCTGCTTCTCCACCCTTCTCCTCTTTTATTTCCCCGGGTGCCCAGCCTTGATCTATCCACCGAAAGGCTTCTTTTTTTTTTTTTTTTTCCTCCCTCTCTGGGTGATCCCTCGCTTCACTTAAGGGCGAGGCATTCCCCTCTCCGTGGGGCTGGCGCAGCTCGCCACGCTAGCCGTGTCCCCAGGCGTCCCCAGGAGCCGGGCATCCCCATGGCTGCCTGTGCACCTGGCTGCCCTGCTGCTCACCGAAACTTCCTTTTGCCGACGGCAAAACCTGCCTTGTCGGCCTGGAAGACCCTCCGGGGGCCACCCTCCCCCCACGCCCTCGACGTCGGAGAAAATTTACTGCCTCTAGGAGCAAATGGCCCCTGCACTCCGATGGGGAGCCGCAGTGGGCCCTCGGGGGCCCGGCCCACGTGTCGCCACGCCGGGAAGGGTGGCAGAGCCTCCGAGCTCCCGGGTCTGCTCCTTCACGCACACACACATCCATGTCCCCTAAAAGGATTTTTTTTTTTCCCCCTTCCCCCCTCCTCCACCATACTCCCACTCCCGATGCTCTTTTTCACCAGCGCTTTTGTCTGCCACTGGCAGGAGAGTAAATTGTTGTTTTTACTCCCATTGAGGTTCAAATGGAGCTGGCAGATTAAGCCTAGTTAATGCCCCGGGGGGGACGGGGGGTGGTGCTGTAGATGAGAAAAAGAGGGAAGGGGGTTGACGAAGGGGCCCATCGCCCCTTAGCGCCGTCCTGTCTGAACCGGGGCGGTCGGGAAAGCCTCCCACCCGGGACAGCCTCCCACCTGTGGCTGCTCGGCACTCCCGTGGGCCAAAGGCCTGACCCTCTTGCCTTCTCTCCCCAGGCCCAGGCCCGGGCCGGGGGAGGGCAGGGTTGCGAGGGGAGGGGGCGGTTTTCCCCGAGAGATCCACACCGGGCAGCGGGAGGCGGGTCCGTGCGGCCCGGCCCCTCCGGCCAGAAGCGGCGAGGGGGGGCCCCGCAGCGCCGGGGAGAAGGAGCAAGGAAGGCCAGGGTGTAAGGAAAACTCGGGAATAGATCTCAAGGCAGATAACCTGTAAATACTATTGCGCAAGAATTGATTTCAGCGAAAGAAAAGAAAATCTTATTTTGATCGCTTTTTCGCCCCGGTCTGATAAAAAGATGCTAGCAGATATAAAAATAATTAAATTTTTTTTTTTGTTTACTTATTTTGTTCCCCCACTTTTTTTTTTTTTTTTTTTTTTTTTTTTTTTTTTTTACGAATTGCTGTTATCCTAAAGAAATAAAATAAGGTAGTCTAAGGAAATACTTAGTGGAGAGATTCGAAAAGTTGGAAGCAAAAAAAGAAACTTGGCTCCTATCTGGAACTGGGCTGTCCTGGGGAAGAATAAATTTTTAAAAGGTCTTTTTCTCTAAGAAAATCCCGTGTGCTTGAACAGAACGGTGCATCTTCCCTTTCAATAGTCGGCAAACTGCGGTCATCCGGCCCGAGCGGACGGGCATCAGGGCGCTCCAGGGTTTCTCAAGTGTCTCCCTGTTCGTGAGCCTCCGTAACTCCACACGTGTAGTCTCGCCCGTGGTGCGTGTGGGTCCCCTGGGTCCCGTGGGGCCGGCCAAGGCCCCGGCGGGCCGCGTGTTCCCCGCCTGGCCCCTTTCGCTGGTGGGTTCTGCTTTTCCCTTCAGCTCATCCCGCGGGAGTGCTTTCCACGGACGGCCCCGGTCCATCTACCGCCGGGTGGGACCCGGCCGCGTTATTTTTCCATGGGACAGGCTGGGGTGGGAGCTCCTAGAGAGGTTACAGCTCCCGCGGCGCGTCCCCGATGCGCGGTGGGTCAGCCGGAGGCTGCGGGCCCTGCCCCGCGTGGGGTCCCGCCGCGTCCCGTGGGCAGCCCCAGGGCTCCGCGGCGGGCCGGCCGCCGCCAGCCTCGGGCACAGGGACGCCGGGCGAGCACACGCCGCCCTGGGCCGGCCCACGCTGCCGGGGTCGTGTCACCCGCGGCGGCCGCGGAGCAGCTTTCGCCCCTCTCGACCCCAGTCGACCGCTCTCTACCTGTTGCAGCCGGGCCTCACGAGTGTCTGCGGGCAGCCCCAGAACCGAGAGACGTAAAACACCCAACCCCAGCGTCAGGCTTGCCCCCAACTCCCTCCGGGCCCGTCACCTTTCTCGCTCCAGCCCTGCCTCCAGTCCCAAAATAACAATAAAGCCCCCTCAGGGCAGAGGGTCACCTTACCTGCCAGTCCCCCATCTTGGCAAGGATAGACATCCTGGCTGCGGGCTCCGAGTCCCCAGGTCCCTGCTGGTCATGGACTGCGAGGGCAAGCCACTCGCCTGGGACGCCTGTGGGTAAATCCTCCCCTTACCTGAGCCGGGACTCTCTCACCTGGCCATAAAGAGCTGGGTGCTCCCTGCCCGCGCCTGCGCGCTGCCTCCGCGCTGCCTGCGCGCTGCCCCCCGCCACCGCGCTCCCACCGCGCCCGCCCGGCCCCTGCGCTCCCGGGGGACCGGCGCCCGTGCCCCCGGGGAGGCTCCCGAGCGTGTCCCGGGCGTCCTGCAGCCGCCGGACCCCTGCCCGCTTCGCCATGGTGTCGCGTCCCGGTGCTCCCCCAGCAGCGAGCAGAGGGCAGGTCTGTCCGCCCGGGTGCCCGGGTGCGGGCGGGAGAGCCCCCCAGGCTTCACCTTCCCCCGGGGGCCAGTGGAAGGTTACCTCGGAGGTAAGTTGTCAAGGAGTATATGGTCGCAGTAATAATAACAGTAATAGTAATAATAATAATAATAATAGTAGTAGTAGTAATAATGACAACAACATCAGTAGCCCAGAAAGGCAAAGCACCGGGAGGGCTGAACTAGCCCAGATGGGTGACGGAAACGCTGCAAATTGCCAGGAGAGTCCAGGGAGAAACAAAGACACCCCCCCTGCAGTGCAGACAGTCTTTCCAGCCCCTGGTACGGGGGCCAAGAGGGGGCAGTCTGCAGCGGACGTGGTGATGCGCACCAGGCTGGACGGGGTCTGTCCCGCCGGGCTGCGCGGGAGTGGCGTGGGATGAGGGATGCTGCGTTCCCCCGGGGGAAGCTGTCCGGCGACAGCCTGTGGCCCTTGCGCCTCTCCATGTCCGTACGCCTTATCCCCGCCCACGTTTTGTTGGCTTTTTCCCCCTCGGGGATTCGAGAGCCGAAGTGCCCTGGAAGCTCGCCAGTGTATCGCGCAGCCCTGATTTCACACCCCGAAGAGCGAGGAAGCACGGACCGTGCCTCATTTGTAGCGGCAGGGCACTGGGGGCGTGGGGAGAGGCAGCACTTCAGCTACAGGATTTTGGGGAAGCATACAAACAATTTCCACTTCAGAGTTGCACAGCAAGCCCTTTCACAATTCAGAGACAGGTGAATGGGGCATCATGTCCCAGGTATGGGACAGTTTGAGGCTTCCTGCATGTCGGGGTGCATTGTCACCCACCAGTGAGGCTGTGTTGGGTTGGGTCCTGGGCTGACCCCAGTCTCTAGTAAAAGGAAGGGGATCACACCCCATTGCCCCACCATAAGGGCTTGGATACAAGGATCTTATAGAAGGAAGTTCCTTCTCTCTCTCCAGGCAGGTAGGAAGAGGGAAGCAAGAACTGGCACCCGCAGCCATTGGATGCCGGGGCCGCGGCAGCCGAATCGTCGGCTCCTGCGGGGCTTCGCTTCTCATCCACGGTCCCAGCCAGCCGGGGTCGGCGGAGCCCGGGCACTCGGGGCAGAGCCCGGCGGCTCCTGCGCGTCGGCGGGGCGGGGCGCGGTCAATGGGCCGTGCGAGGCGCGCTTCGCACCGCCGCTCCCAGAGCCGGCCCGCGGTGTACAGTTAGCGTCAAATTACAGCAATTAACCGGGCACCGGAATTTAATTACACAGCCCTGCCCCTTTCCCACCCCCCTCGGTCCTGGGGAGCCTCCTGCTCGGGGACGACGCGGAGCAAAGACTGCCCGTTGCAAAACGGGAAAGGGACGGGGAAGACGTACAGAGGTTTCGTGGCTCCGGAACCCTGCCGCCCCTCCTTTCCCCGCTTGCTGCTCGCCCTGCCCTCTCCAGGGGGCGGCAATTT